TTATGAATACAATCTGTGAAAGACGAGTGCAGTTAGCAGCTATTCCTACTGAAGAAAAGACGTTGAGAATCTTTTTACGCTATGGAATCTAAATTTTGGTAAAAGAGCAGGAGGTTGACCTGTAAGAAGCTTCGTCGATTAACTCAGACGGCACCGCAGTCATAAAGGAAGAATTGGATAGACTTATGGATGACAGTAATGGTTGGAAAGAACTGTCCAGAACTGTATGTTCGAGAAGGATCAGATAGATTCGCTTTCCTTTCTGTCTGCCATAATAACTAAATTATGGGAAAAGCAACCAAGAACGTATACGCGACCTTGTGGGTAATGAATTCTTATCCACCCTTTGAGGAAGAGAAAAAAGAAAAGAAAGAACAAGAAGAACAATAGCTTTTAGAATTATTTTTGGAGATAATGATAGAAATCTTAATAATTAGCTGGGAGAGAAGGAGTGGGGAAAAAGAAGAGAAGAAGAAGTAGAGAGAGGAGGAAGAGAAGATGACAAAGAAAATGGAAGGAGAAGGTGGATAAGTAAAATGGAAAGGAAGAAAAAGAAGAAAAAAGGAAGAAGGAGGAGGAGTAAGAAAAGAAGAAGCAAATAGAGGAGGGGAAGAAGGAAAAGGAAGAAGGAGGAGGAGGAGCAAGAGAAGAACTAGAGGACCATTTTAACTTGCTATTTAAACCGTGGCTTATTGTGGGTAGCGGTATGAGACGGATTCATTCTTTTCCTAAAGTTATGTGCGAGAGTGGACGCAATGGACTAGCACGGAATCTGAACCTCTCTCGTTTACTAACACGCACCCCTCATAGCCTTACATGTAATTGTGTTTATATATATATAAAATATAGTATATTAAAAATTAAAAATAAAAAAAATTTCAAATCGTAGTTGATTTGAAATATTTTTACTTTTAATTCTTACCTAAACACCCCCAAAAATCTTTAAATATACGAGGAAAAAAATGCCGTAAAAATTTTAGCCGTTAACAATAAAATTTAAAAAAAAATCCAAACGACAAGCTTTTAACGGATGTTAGATTTCATTGAAAAATACATCCCTACCCACTACCAAAACGTAGCAATAACTGATACATTAAAATATAGACACCGAGACACCCCTCGTCTAGTAAATTGGATTCATCTGTAACCTTGGAAACATGAATTATGACTTTATCTGTATCTTTAAAACCCAGTAATTTTAAAAGTTACTCCAAAATTCGCTTGAGGATGAAATGGAACTAATGTCTTTAATTTAATTACAAAATTAAATTTTTTAAATCAATTAATTCATAAGATTAATGTTCTGTAAATTTACATTGAGCACTATTTTGTAAAAATAAAAATATATATAAGAACACCGGATTATATATCTAACTGTTCTTTCTTATTATATATATATATATATATTATATATATATATATATATATATATATATATATATATATATGTGTGTGTGTGTGTGTGTGTGTGTGTGTGTGTGTGTGCGGTGTGTATATGTATGTGTATGTATGTGTGTATGTATACAAATGAGTTTACTAATTCCACATAGTATATGTACTGAGGGGAAATGTACGCACGCATATATACACGTATGCTGACAGAAACACACGAAAATGGAAACAGATCTAAGAACACACAGGGGTCAGTAAAACATTAAACGATAAAATGCCAATAAGTAATTCATCATTTCGCTTGGACCAACCTTAATTGTTTTATGACCCTTCGTGCAGACCTCTTCATTGCCAGTTCAAGAAAGACATTCGGATTACTAACACAAAAACAGAGAATGTCTCATATCGAGAATATTTAACGTTGAAAAACATAAGGAAAAAATTAATTATTTTTAATAATATGTGGAAATCTCCGCCTTTTACCTGAAGACGGTCGCGAGATCAGAAAACGTGTAGTAAAATTATGGAAAATAAAGCATAATATTTTTTTCTAAAAAAAGCAGATTACAACCAAAACGTTTCCGGCACCTCCCTTCTCTTATTTTTATATATATATATATATATATATATATATATATATATATATATATATATATATGTGTGTGTGGGTATGTGTGTGTGTGTGTGTGTGTGTGTGTGTGTGTGTGTGTGTGTGTGTGTGTGTGTATGTATATACTTCACCCCCGATTTATTGGTAAATTGCAGAACAAACTCGGTTCTATAGCCTTGGATGGCAACTGGTCTTGGAGAAGGACAACTCTGAATTCAAAACCCTGGGATGGTCGTGTTTGAGGACTTGTGGCACACGGTGCACAAGGTCTCGGTATTCGGCTCTTCAAAAAGTGTGGTTGATTCTGCACAAACCTTCACTGCTATAATCAAATCATATGTGCAGATTATCTGGCTGAGTTGCCTGACCCTCATACGTCGTAAAATATATACGTATATACATCGTGGACTCTCCCGTTGTTGAGCGAGGGGAGCTGTTGACTTGGTAATCCGTATCGGTGCCCCAAGGAGGATGAAATCCTGAGAGCTCAATGTAAATTCAGAGCTAATAATTTAAAGTATAATAGAAAGAAATATAAAAATAAACCCTCTCTAAACTTGACCATGTCTCTCACACCACTTCTTGCTACCCCTCCCTGTTAAATGACATAAACTTAATACTACCCGTCAAAAGTGTAAATTTTCATTTCATTTTTCGTTTCACCTTTTGGAAGTGATGTCTGAGGATCCCGGGTACATTAATTTTTTGTAATTTAACAGAGAGGGAAATAAGGAATGGTTAGAGAGACATGGTAGAGTTTAGAGAGGGTTTAATTTAATATTTCTCTCAATCATACTTAGTATTGGGGGGCGGGGAGGAGTGACTAAACTCTACCATGTCACTCTAATCACTCCTTATTACAATCTCTGTTAAATTACAAAAACTTACACTACCCATCAATTTTCATTTCATTTTTGGTTTCATTTTTTGGAAGTGCTATCTGATGATCCGGCGTTCTTTAAAAGGACTCTGGTGAAATAAATTATTATAATGGTACCTTAAAGTGGTCTGTTTTTCTTCAAAATATTAGCTCTGAATTTACATTGAGCTCTCAGGATTTCATCCTCCTTGGGACTATCCATACGGATTACCAATTGGTTCTGATTCGAAGAACTCACAAATGTCAGTTTTAACCTCTTCCTGTGTTACAAAAGTTGATTCTTACAAAGCTACGAAACAAATGGTAGTCTGAAGGAGCAAGATCGGGAGAATAAGTTGGATGAGGAATTTTCTCCCAACCAAGTTCTTCGATCTTTTGGGACGTGATTCTTGCTGTGTTGGGTCGCGCATTCTCCTGATGAAAATCACCTCTTTTTGATTCACTAGAGCAGGTCTTTTTTTCTTCAAAGCTTGGTTCAAACGCTCTAATTGCTGACAGTATATTTGAGCATTAAGTATTGCATTAGGTGGTAAGAATTCAAAGTGGATTATTCCTTGGCGATCCCACCAGATTGAAAGAAGAACCTTTTGCCCATGAAGTTCCCTTCTCGGCTGTGGCTGGGGTCCTTCCCCTTTACCAAGCCACTGTCTACGACGCCTAAAATTTCGATAAAATATCCATTTTTCGTCGCCAGTCACAAGTCTATCCAAAAAAGGTGAAACAAGTTGGTGAGAATGGAGAGAAGAGCAGATGTCAACTCGGGATTTGAGGTTGTTTTCAGACAATTCATGACGCACCCATTTTCCAAGTTTAGGAACTTTTCCAAGTTATTGAAGATGACGATGAATAGTTGTATGGTTTGAACTGAGAACCACTGCCAATTCCTCAACTGATAAAGCAGGATTTTCTTCAAGGGCTGCTTCAAGAAGCTTTTCATCAAACTCAACTGGACGTCCGGTTCGATCTTCAACTTCAAGGGTGAAATCTCCACCTCTGAATTTTGCAAACCATCTTCTGCAAGTTCTTTCATTCACACATTCCTCTCCATAAACTGAGTGAATGTTTCTAGCTGCTTCGGCTGCTGAGTTTCCTTTCTTGAACTCATAAAGCATTATTTGCCTCAAATGATTCTTGGGTACTTCCAGGTTAGCAGGGTTTTAATCAAACAAAATTTAATTTTATTTTTCTCTGAAATAAAATTTGATCAGTTTAAATGCATCTAAACATAAAAATAATGTTCAGCTCCATTAGACATTATAAAATACTCTTTAAATTTCGTTCAATTTAGAAAAGGTTAAATTCGGACAGAACTTATGGGATGACCTGATATATATATATATATATATATATATATATATATATATATATATATATATTATAAATTGATTTATTTAAAATATGTTTTTTTCGCTACACAGTTCTAACCATGTTTCAAAAATGGAAGCTAAAAGCTATAAATTTAATTTTGTAATTACATTGAGCACTATTTTGTAAAAATAAAAATATCTATAAGAACACCGGATTATATATCTTATTGTTCTTTCTTTATATATATATATATATATATATATATATATATATATATATATATATATATATATATAAATAAAAAGAAAGAACAGTAAGATATAAAATCCGGTGTTCTTATAGATATTTTATTTTTATTTATATATATATATATGTGGGGGGGTTCGCTGACTGTCTCCAAGAAAGTATAGGCTTATGGCTATATCACGTCGAAACACTGGTTCTAGTACTATCACTGAAGTTAAGCAACATCGAGCCTGGTCAGTACATAGATGGGGATATAGTACGTGATGTACGCTCTGTTGTGCAGCTGATGTAATGGTTAACGGCTCGGAATTCGAAATTGGCTCTTCGATTTCGAAGTCCGAACCGTTATCCATTACAGTCTGGTTCGTCACATTTACTTATACGCAAATACTTTTGGGAAAGGCATGACTCCAACTATGGGTTAATTAGTAGAATTTGCATCACTAACTAATTATTTTCTCCAAAAGCTTCTTACAATCTGAAAATAAATTCTAGCTTTAAATAAACTGTAAAAGGGTGATAAACCGTAAAAAATCAATCAATCAATCAACCAAGAAAGTATACTCAAGTCTAAAAATTCTAATGGCTTTGCGTGGGTTTCGAACGAAGCATCAACTTGAGAGGATTTTTGGAGCATGTCATTGTTGCAAATGCATAAAGAAATATCTTCGCACTTGAAGATATTCCGTTCTACGGCCGGGAAGCTGTTATTGGTAAAAACGCTTCGATGTGAACTGACGTCCTCCGTGAGCGGATTATGAATAAGCGTGTTCAGACCACTACCAAATGGAAAGACATTAGATATGGAAACACACGTCATAAAGAGGCTTTTCAGTTCAATGTCTTTAGCCCTATATGCACACTGACATCTATGGCGGAATATATGCCTCACATCGAAAATAATTTACCTTTCTTTCTGCCTAAGGTATTAATAACAATAATACTAATAAATGGAAATCTTAAATAAAATATATAACTTCTCCTTTAATACTACTACTACTACTACTAATAATAATAATAATAATAATGACAATAATAATAATGGTAACATGTCTTTTGATAGAGGTTGCATCCCTAGGTGACAAAAAAAAAGAAATCACTTCTTGAAAAACGTTTGAGAAACTAAGTAAATACAAAGATTACAATATAGAAAACTCTAGAACGGGTCATGTCAAGACAACATTACCAGTTGTTATTGGTAACTGCTTTTAATTATTTCACCTCGAGCAAGGTGATAAAGCCACTAAGATGCTATGGGTTAATGGGATTGAAAGAAAAAAAAAAGAGAAAACGTTACTGATGACATTAAAAAAAAACAATAACGAAACAGAGTTCAAGAAGACGGAATATGCCGATTGATGTTGCATTTAAATTTTTGAAGAATATGCTTGACAGAAAAGCTCGAAGGTGAAAAAGAGTTCCCCAAACGAGAAACGCGAGAGAAGAAAGTATTAGAATAGAACTTGCGGTTAATTCAACTGTAAAATGATGAGACCTAACTGCCATTCTAGTTCAACATTTAAAATCATGAAGTCGAGATACCAAATAGAAGAGCCCATCAAAAAGATTACCATGAAAATATTTATAGGAAAAGCAGAGAAAAGCTACGTAACGGCGCTGGGGAAGTGACTGAAGCCAAGACGACGGGTCTGGAAGGAGCTAACAAATATTTAGTATATATTTCCTTAATCATTTTTACCACAGCCAAGGCGATACATTTCAGGTGCCTCTTTCTGATTCTGATTATAAGTACACTTTTGGACTCCTATTGCACCACCCCCAAAGATAGGGCGTGATAAAAGTAGGGTTCATGGAAGCGGCATTTATAGACATTACACACGATTACATGTCAGCGAAATTACATAACGCATTCTCAGAATGAAGAGTTTGTCCACAACAACTGTGATCATCACGTGCATCTTATTCCTTTGCGTACCATGTCTTTGTCAGGACGCTAGTATTCTCGGTTTTATCTAATTTTTCTGACGTTAATGATTAAGTATATCTCAAGACTTCAATGGATAAGATGAAATAGTATTTAATTACAACCGCAAATAAATACTTAACAAGAACAAAGAAATAAAAGTCAACCGAAGATAATTAACCATTTCAGTGAATACCTTCTTCGTAGAGAGGCTCAGTCTAATGTCCCGTAAATTCTAAATCAAAACCAAAATCATCGACACACAATAACACACTAATTCGACTGGATAGTTCCACTTTCACTCAATAATCACTCCAGTCAGTAGCCTGACACCGCTATTTATACACCTGGCGGAAAATATATTCATAAGTCCAGAGTATCACGCTCGAACCTCGGTGTCGGTAGTTCCTCATTTTCTACGTATATGACACTAACAATATGTTGTAGTATGCCTACGGACGATAATGACTATGTCCTCGTTCACACAAATACAGTAGTAAATACTGCATGTTGATCTCCAGCTGGAGATTCATTGTGGAATTCATTTGCCTCACTTCTAGCAGTTGACTACTTCTTCTGTGCGCAGGGTTCACATTTTCGCCTAGTTTCCCTTGCATTCAATGTGCCCTGTCAGTACTAAATTCTCTAGGTCGTCTCATCTTAGGCGTCAGTTGTAAGTAGAACTTTCTTTGTAGTTCATATTTTGCTTAAAACTTCCTTACTGCTCACATGTTCCGACTATGAAATTCTCGGCATTCATTAGTAAAACTTTTTTTTGCTGCTTCAGGTATCTTTTTCACCCGTGAAAAGATTCTCAAGCATTGATTACCAAATAGAAATTTGGATATTACATAGAAATTCAGCATTGTTTTCTTTGAAAGAAAGAACAGTCTCCCCCAGTGAACGAAATAAAGGGTTCAGTTCGACATTTCAACCGCCTGAAGAAGGCCGGAGAATACAACGGCCGAAAAGTTGTGATAAACATTGTGACAAAGATGTGCACAATAGTCTGCATAATGTAAATAGGGTACATAATACCTCATCTCAGCAATATAGACAGAAACCAATTTAGATTTCAAAAAATGCCTGCGTTAATATTTTAGATAGCATCAATATGTTTTATCGAAATTATTTGATGTATTCTAAATCACTGCCATCTGAAGTTATTAGGAAAAACCAGATAATTATATTTTACTTGGAAAATGATAATATAATCATTAAAAATTGTTCAATTGGTCACCTATAATAGAACAAATAACAAACGCATATCATAAGACTTGGAATCCTTTACATTTTAATCTAGTGACCCTTCTTCTCAATAACAGCCAATAACCTATTATCCATTAATTTTGTTATTTTTTTTAGTTCATCTGGTTCAATTTCCGACACGGTAGATTTAATTACCTCCCATAGGTCTGCTTTACTGACCATAGATTTTCGATCGGATTCGGATTAGGACTTCATCGCGGACAATTCATTATCTTATGTCCTGTACATCATTTATGCGCCAGTAATTCAGGAGTAAGCTTAGATACATGAGAAGGAGCATTGTCTTGCATAAATACACACTTCACTTAGAAACTCCGAGACTGGCAATTCTACCATGCAAAGAAAGTCTTGCTGATAAAATCGAAATAGTTAGCACTGTTCAGATTAACTGCTTCATCGACTTTGAATTTGAATGGTCCAATAATGGTTTGGTCGACAATTCCATTCCATATCTTAACACTACCGCCTCCTTATTGCCTTCTTCTTACTACAGGCACATCTGAATGAGATAAAATGCATCTTTTGGCTCATCTATCAGGTGGATCATATGTCACTCGAGATTCATCCGTGAAAATTACTTTAGAAATGTAAATTTCTGGGCCCAATCGTGACACTTTAAAATAGTTGCTTTATTGAGAGGAGGTTGCCTAGATGTTTTTACAGATCCCAATTCACAAAGTATTCTTCACCTTTTATCATTCTAGACTCCCTCAATTCCAACCTTTTCAAAGATCTGAGCGCTGGTCAAAAGTAGTTGTTTCGCTATAACTCGCTTAGTTTATGTTCATCGCGAAGAGACAAGTTCTTGAAGTCTTTTTCTTTTGCTTCGAGTTCTCAACTTATATTTTCAACAGCCTTCTTTATCGTTCGATGATGTCTGCAAAGCTCTTTTAATATCTCCAATGTCGACATTCCCTTACTCAATAATTTTTTTTTATTTTCAGTTTCTCAGCAGTTGCTGGATCCTTCCCTTTACCCATGTTTCAACATATATCATGGACAAAAAAAATAATAATTTTTATTAGATTTCAGAAGTCTTAAGCTAATATTAGTTTAATCTGCATACTAACTTCAGTCAGTCCATTTTCGTAAATTACAAACATCACCATAACAAACCATTACAAATGGCAGAAAATTTAATTAAATATTTTCCTAAAGGTGGAAATTAATGAGTTTGAATTTGCCAAATATTGGCTCGGAACTTTTTGAGTTATTGAAGTTCATTTGATTTGTATAATAACTTCAGATAGTCTGTAGAAACAGTTAGAAGTATATATATAAATATATATATATATATATATATATATATATATATATATATATATATATATATACTAATGTAAACGAACCAAGAGTAAGATTTCAGCGTTCAAAACATTAATTTAAAACAGAGCTCAATACAAAACTAGAGTCGTCATTGACATCGCATGTGACGAAAGATATTCGCTACACAATCCAACATTGAATACAGCGACCAATCGCGTACGTATGTACGCAACGACACATGGATGCGCATATATGCCCAGTCCAACGCTGTTCATATATGTTTATGTTTGTGTGAGCTCCAGTGAGTGAGCGTACCTGTATGTATGTCTGCGTACGTCAATGGGAGAACGTGTGTGTATATATGTTTGCGTAGGTATGAGTGGCGTTACGACGACAATTTTTCCTCCCAATATCATAAAGACATCGATATACATAACCATATATAAATCCAAAATTAAAAATTAATCATTTTGTCTGACGATCGCAAATAGCGTGGAAACCAGGGTCACAAACTAACACTAATCCAACTAAATAAATATATTTAGCTCTATCACTGATATTGAGCACTTTCCAATAACTTCGCTGCATATATAGCATATAAATAATATATATAAAATTGCATATATATATATATATATATATATATATATATATATATATATATATATATATATATATATATATATATATATATATATATATATATATATATATATATATGAAGAAAAAAATATATGAAAACACAAAAAATCCGAATATGCAAATATGCTGTTTAATGTTGTTTCAATGTCGACGTAAGACGTTTCGGTCGAGTAGACCTTCTTCAGTACATAGTTATTAAAACATAATTAACATTAGACTATATTCAAGTCAACATGAAAAGACGATAGACATAAGAGTAGGACTAATCAAAACAGAATAACTGAAATTTTTAAGATCAGCGTTTCGTTTCGACATTGAAACGACATTAAAACAGCATATTTGCATATTCGGATTTTTGTTTTTCCATATATCATTCTTCATACTGTCGGATCTATATATCATATATTTGCTTTAACGTTCTTTTTTATAGATACAAGTATTTAAGTATAGGATGCAGGTTCGAATCCTGTCAAAGGATGAATATTTTCTATGAAAATTTCTCGGACATTCAGGCCGGTAAATGTTATTTAATACTGTTTATTATAAACAGAGCATTTACTTAAATACTTGTATCTATAAAAAAGAACGTTAAACATAAAAAAAGTCTTTAATAAATAAATTGTCGGACTTTGTCCATTTCTTAATATATGACGTCATTTGTTTTCATTTGATACGCCAGAGCAGTTATGAATGTACGAGATTCATGGAAGATTGAAGTT